GAACATGCGGTACAGCAAGGTTCGATTTTAGGCCATATTCTCTTCCTAACAAACAAAAACGGTATGTCCTCAACCATTCCAAAAGTAAGAACAATTTTCTTTGCTGATGATATGAATACACTTTGCGGAATGAACAATAAATAGCAGAATATAAGATGGTTTAAACTGGTTTTGTATAAACTAATTAATATTAAACGAAAGGCAAAGTGTTTGAATTCATTTCTCCATTTCAAATCAACAATTTGATTCTCTATTGAACATGCTATTGACAGGTGTTAAAGTAACAACACTTTTGTTTCTCTCAATGCAGACAAACCTCAAATGGAACAGCTATTTCAATTAATTAAAGAGAATATTCAGTTCATCATACTACGCGTTCAGAGTTCTTTGGAATTCAGTCAATTTTCATACTGCTCGTTGAGTATATTTCGCAAACGTTCATTCTCGCCTGAGATAAGGCATAATATACTGAGGAAACACATCTTATACCTCCCAGACTTTTATATTTCAGACAAGAATAGTACGAATAATAAGCAAATCCCACCCATGTGATTCTTTTACGTATCTCTTTTCTTTCACGTATTCTTTTAGCTAGGGATTCTACCAATGTATTTTCTTCATTTGCGTATCGGTGTTTTTTTGTCAAAAATGACTTACTCAAGCGTGGGAACATATTTTCAGAGAATACAGACGAAACCGATACACACGCAAGTAAAATATTTTCTTCTGCGTGCCGGTTTCTTTACAATTACAGACTATTCTGACTATGAAAGTAATATTGATTTTAACAATGATTTTTACAGGATTAATTACCAGTTGTAGTGTGTAATTCTAGAAGACTAAATATACCAGTAACAATATTGTACCTCCGATTCTGGGTCAACAACCCCCATCTCGATCAGAGTTTTCATCCACCTTCCCTATTCTTTGAACAAATGCACTCTGACTTAGACGGCTTCTTATTCTGCTTCTGAACATAAATGTACCATTTGTGCCCGTTTTCTTGAGTGCAGTAGAGCAAATAGTTGATCAAATATGTTATCTCCATATACTCGCGGCAATGTGTTCTCTGTGTACTCGCACCAGTAAGTCAATTTCGACACGAAGGGCACGATAAGTGTAAATAGCCACAATCTCTATTTGATTTGCCTTGGCAAATTGTTTTCATTACACGAGAGCGATTATTTGATTATCAATTCAAGGCAAATCTCTCGTTGCTACGTGCATTCATAACTCAACCTAAAATGTATGAGATCGATCAGGAATCCGAGTGCTCAAGGAACCGTGTACAGGTTGCAATTCTCCCCAAACTACATCACACAGTTTTCAACTTCAAATTAATAAATAAAATATATTTTTTGACTTGAAATAAATAAATAAAATATAAAAGATTCTTGTAGAGGCGTACGTTGCGTTAGTGAGGCGGTCTTTAAGTGAAATAACTTTTGTCGGCCAAAAAAACATCAAGCTAAAACGCGTGCAATCGAGTTCAAAGAGATCGAGATATTTTCGCATGGGTTAAGCAAGTATTATAATATTTCGTAATAATTACAAAAAATAGGAAAAAAATACGTGCTCTTGTAGCAACACTAATCGCACTATATTCTCACCCTGTTGCTACGAGATTGCGCAGTTTCAGAAGTCTTTTACGTCTTTCCCTCTGTTGATCCCCGGAGGCGTGAATGACGAAACTTCGACGAAAGGCGTTGACAAATCCGTATTTAACGTTGGCATTCTGGTAGTGGTATGCCTTCAAGCTACGGCACATGTGCACAGAACTCCGTGCCAGCATTAGAACATTCTTGCCTCTGGATACCTTACACCCCGGCACCTACGCGCCCGCACTCACTCATACACGCTTTCACGAGCATATAAACGCACTCGTACCCATGCACCTGTATATGAAGCGTTAATTTTACAAGCTTCGTTTTTTTTTAGAAAGTTCGTCTGATTTACAATCAAATTGAGGTTGTTTTAATGAAAGTGACATTACTGCTATAGAATTTAGTGCATTGTGCACTATCCTTACAAAAACAGTTACAAGGAATAATTGCAGTCCTATATAAGAAAACCTTCTTCGGTTTTTTTGAAAACAATTCACGATCTCGCTCAAAATTTCTCACAAAATCTAATATTAAGAAAAATATTAAATTTATGTAAGTATAAATATTAAAGAACAATTTACATTGCAGCTGTTCTTGTGCCTCAATAATATTTTCAAAGTTTTCTCAAAAATGGCACCAAAGTGTTACATGGATTTTTTCGGGTAACAAAAAGATGGCTTTAAAATTACGCAGGTGTTGTTTTATAATCCCTTATTTTTCGAATATTGCAAAATAAAATATTTATTCAACGTCTTCCTTCATCTATAATATTGGAGAAAATATTTTTTAAATGATATCTGTTCTTTCAAGGCAGATCTTGTGACATTTTTCTAAAATATGAATAGTTTTCTATTAATTTTGCGTGAAATATTGGCCCGAGAGAGTTTGGTCAAAGACTGTGAAAACGAGATGGCCAAAAACGAATTGTAGTCACGTCAGATCATAGACTATGCTGAATGTCATTCTTATGGAGTGAAACGTTTGACACAGAACAGAAAGTGACGAAATATAAGTATTGAAGGAAACAAATCTTCAGATGAATAACGTAAAGAAAACAATCAGGCCAGTTTCTGTTCGACCGAAATTCTACGAAAAGTTCCAGAACCACACGAGTCCAAAAGACACATAAACTAAATTCACTTGACGATAGACCTTTGTTTCTTGATTGCTGTTGCCTCAATGGTTTTAGAAAATATCTTGTTACACCTTCGAAGTTATTTTTACTTGGTGCATGATATTAAACATTTCCAAACTACGAATTTGCTCTATTGTCATGATAGACAGTACATGGCGATCCGTCATGGTTCATATGAAAATGATTTTAAGAGAAACCTGTGTTCCACGGCATCTTCCATTTCTATTGTTTCACTTGGAATAGAACGACTTCATTTTACACATTTCCTCACAGATTCAAAGGTATACGGGATAATCTTTTTCAAAAAGGATAATTTTACTCATGCTCTCTCTGATTGAGCAATTAATGCTTTTTGAGGTCTATTATTATTTATATTATCTATTATTATTATAGAATATTAAAAAAAACGGGAATCAGAATGTTCGTAAAGTTAAAAGAAAACACTTATGCAGGAAGAGTTATAAGAAAAGATGGCTTATAAAAGTTTAAATAACTCTGATTTAATTAGAGTAGGGTAAAAGCACCACCTGTGGTCACACTTATTTTCGTAGTTTTCTCTCCCCAAATTTTTGGTTTCAGAACTAAATTTGTTGCATGAAACACAATAAATCATTAGTAAACATCTTTGTGAATAAATCCCTTGTCTAAATAAAGAATTTTTTTATTTTTTATATTTCTTATTCATTTATTTCTAAAATACGATTTTGTTTCAGAAGTTTCCACTTGAAAATTGCCAAATTTTGGTACTAGCCAGTCTCTGGACTCGGTTATGGCCAATTTTTTTCAACGCCAAGAAGTGGACTAAATTGATAATTAATCTCTCAGAAATCGGGAATTGAAGTAAATATATTGTTGTAAAAAGGTAAATGAAAGCATTAATTTAATTTTAATTCTCAATAACACAAAATGTGCCAATCGCATTCCTCTACATTTTAAATCTTTGCGTCTTATTTTGTATTTGTTTTATTGAGTTGTAATGCAACAAATTATTTTTTTACATGAATTCCAGATCAAATGGTGTTGCTTTTAATAAAAGCAGTCGAATTTATAAAATGTAACACATTTTGTGTTGCTACAATTTAAAAACCATAAAACGATAAGCTCCACAAAGAAAACGCAATGCATACAATTGTAAGCTAAATTAATTATTGAATTATAGTGACAATATTTAAAAAAAAAACATTTCTTCAGTGTATATGCCAACTTGGACCTCGCGTGCATCCTGCTTCAGCAGGTGCAAGTACCATTATCTACGGGGGGATCAGCATTTTAGCTGAATCACTCGAGGTTGTTAGCCCTGGGGTTATGGACGATGAGATGATGAAGATAGTGAAGGATGAAAGTACGGTACACATATAGACATACACAAACAATCTTTTGGTCCGAAACCGCTACGGCACTACTGCCCTATCGATTTCGTCCATCTTAACCGGCAAATAAAATTTGTTATTAAAAATATATTTTTTAAATACAATACACATTAATGAAAATTAAATGCGAGCCAAAGAGCAAAGAAACTAAGTTTGTTTTCTCTAAACCACTATTTCAAAGATCCCAGAATGTGTACAAGTTAGCTACTAAATGTTAGGTTTCACACTTTTACTCTTTTTGGCAGGCATGTCTACTATATAATTAATACGTTGACTCTTTACAACTGTAAAATATGATGTTTATTTCGACACACATTGTTCTCAGAAGTACATAACTTCTACGTTTCTGGTACAGGTTTTACCCATCTTCAGGCAGATTTGTCATAATTGTTATAAAAACCATTGAATATGGTATCCCGTTGATGGTTAATGCAGTGAGTACATGTTGAATGTTCTAGCAAAACAGTTAAAGTGTGTATACTTCTGCAAAATGAAAAATAAACACTTTTAAATCTGCGAGTTGTGTCAGCTCCTTTATGAGGATAATCATATTTGGTTAGCCCAAACGTCACGTTTTCTTCGCGGTAGTAATGCGAGGCGCCAGGAAAGTCTCTTCGCACTGGCATCAGTGGCTAGTGAGATAGCTAGTAACAGATGTGACGTTGGTAGCGCGATCTACAGCTTGTAACAAATAATAACTTAAATTGCGTACTCACCTCTTTTTTGTAGTACAGTGTGCCAGGAAAGATTTTTGCAATTTTTTATAGAGCCTCTGATTCGACTCGACGCGGAAAGACTTTCCTGACGCACTGTACTACAAAAAAGCGAAATGAGGGGAAGATGGCATTGAAATGTTTGCATGAGCAGTTATCCCCGTTGACCGGGCGCAGCTGCGTGCGGAGGGCGCTGGCGGGCGCCGGGGCTGAGGTGCTGGCTGTGCTTGCAGGGCAGAGCGACATCAAGAAGCTGCGCCGAGAGAACGAGCAGCTGCGCCGGGAGATCTGGGGGCTGCGCGAGGAGTACGACCGCCTCGAGGGGCTGCTGGGGCTACTGCACGGCGCCGCCGGCTCCCTCCACGGCAGCCCGGTGAGCCCACAGACACACACTTTATTATTGCCATTGATATGATTATTTATTATTATTATTATTATTATTATTATTATTATTATTATTATTATTATTTTATTACATAGTATTATGAGGGTCTCTGAATAAACAAGTGCACTACTATACGAACGACATGTATCGCTGGCAAATTCAAAACTTTTTCTCCTGCTATAAAAACACAAACATCTTAGAGAAACATAATACGTTGTCTGATTATATAAATACTCTGGCACTATAGCCTCGTCAGACTACAACCATGCCATGGCGTCCCAGCCTGATGGCCAGTGGCTCGGCAAACCTGTCGTAAGAAGGTCGCAACCACTTACCCCGATTTCACGTTTTCAACAAGCTACGTGATAATGAAAAATATATTTTTTTTAATCTTTGCTTCATACGAGAATGGAACCCGGATTCTGGAATGGAAAGCTAGCTCGTTAGCCATGATCTTGGATCATCGACCATGTATTTGAAATACTATTGTGCATTCGGTGGAAGAAAAAAATACACCACCAATTTATTTCCCCTTGTCAGAAAAGGGGAAGACATAGGACGAAGACGTAATCTTATCTCTCGCCTACAATTGGAAATCAGTATGGTGCTCGCCGCCGTTTTCAATGAACTGTTGGGTGGCGTTTCAACAGAATTAAATGAATGTCGCAATTTCATGTTAACTTTCCTTCCTCTTTAATCTCAATTCAGCCATCACGTACCTCCCTCACATTTTACTGAAATCATGACATACTTTTAAACACCTCTAAAGTTTCTATTAAATGTTCTGTTATTTTATACTTTGTTGTTTCTATAAGATGTTATGTTAGATATTTCAACATATGGGGTTTCTCACCAAGGCGAGTGTGTTGTTGACTCGACAGAAGTCGAAGAATAGCATTAGTAATACACAATGATCCGATTTTTATTATCAGATGACTTGATATGAATAAGATATGTTTTAACCGTGCACATATCGCAGTGTAAATCAATTTTGAGAATGAAGTTTGTTTATGAATAAATGTGATAATTTAGCTTAACTTATAGTGGCTATGTTCACTTTTTTATTAACCGTTTTTATTAACATTTTGTTGGTAACAATTATTTATTAAAACTGATTTTAAAACACCCCAAAATGAAGATATCCGGTTCAAATTCGCATGACCTCGAGTTCGCCCAAATCGATCGAAAATTTTTTTTTTTTTTTGAAAAAATCATCGGAACGGTTTAGGCGCTAGTATTGACCACAGAGAGCAGTCAGACGTTTTCCTGTAAACCAACTGTAAATACAAAACGTGTTAGAAAGTAATTTACTACATGCAGGAACAATATATTCCACTTTTTAAGTATCAGGGATCCTTAAATACAGGATTCCTTCGAAAAATCGTCACTTTCTGCTGCAGCATTGCAATTACTTTACTACATAAGTACATTGCAGGGAGAAAGTAAAAATTCAAGTCGGACCTAAAAGTGTCTCTGATTTAAGAGACATAAATACAACTTAAATGGGGCGATAATTTTTATTATTTATTTTCTCTCCATATTGTGATTGTGTTTTAACCTGGGCTGATTTCAAAATCTGTGATAGTATGTTTCATCCCAAATTCAGGTCATTCTGTACTCCTATTTTAATGTTCCGTTTGGTAAGTGTAACATATCTACAATTTTCTTGTTAGGAAACAGCATGACCATTGATAAAAAGCTAGAGGTGGGTCATCATAGGGGAAGAAGGTAAGGAACATGGCGTTATTTGCTATCTAGTAGGAACGACCCAAATAATAGATAAATTATCACTGAGACTTTTTTGGGTCAGTTCTTGATTGATTGATAGGTAATGATTCCGGGGCGTCAATTACAGAGGTTATTAGTCCCGTAAGAGTACTGCATGTTTTTTTTCGTCGGGAGGTGACGGTGACCTTCTCTCGCTGAAAGGCGAGATCCGGCGCCGACCTACCGTCGACTAGCGGGGTTTCCCTAACCAGGTACTCCCACCTGCAGGGCACCACCACAGCCAGGACTATCTCTAAGCCCTCCACCGGTCTTCCGACATGTGTCGTAGTGTAGTGCATGTTAGTGTAAATGTGTGTAAGTAAAGGGTGAGGATACGACAAGGAATAGGTAGGATAGATCGCGCGCGGTCCATGGCCCGATTGTTATAGTAGTGCTCCGGTATTTGCTTGGTGTTGATTGGAGAAACCATGAAAAACTACCGATCAGAGCAGCCGGCAGTAGAATTCTTCTCCAGACAGCGACTGAATTCGACCTAGCTGAGAAGCTTGTGTTGATAATCCTGCCATTGTAGGGACTCAAACCCAGGGGCCCGGTCTGAGGCACTGCAGTGTCATCAGTTGATGCACTGAGCCACCTCTCTCGGAAGCCAGTTCTTGTCGGTCAATGGGAGTGAACGAAAGCCAAAAAATAACTGGTACCCTTGGGTGCCCATTTGATGCTAAATTTGAAAATCCATAACACCGCCCATTTTGGAGGGTGAAAATTGATAGAAATCCAGATTCAAGGCATTACATACGTTTTGTAAAGTCACATTGATCGTCATAATAAATAACAAACCGAAAAAATTATACAAGTAATGTGGCAGAGAATGAGTCCAGCAACACAATGAAACTGGTCTTAAACCTTTTATTATTTATGTTATTGTAAGGCTAGAAGCTTTTCTCATTGCTTGAAAAAAGAAAATTGAGTATTAATTTTCACTGAATTTATGAGATACATGTTACAAACTAATCGTACACGACTTTCATTTTTTCAGGAATTTGGAAGAAAGGAATATGACGACACAGAAGACCTGGGAAGCAGAAGAAATATGGTCGAGAACGAACAAAATTTGCAAAATATTACCTGCATTAAGTTTCAAAGGAGTAAAAGTTGCTCAAAAGTGGAATTCGACAGCCTTAGTATGGTCGATGAAGAAATCGATTCTAATGCAGATGAAGACGATTCAAGTGTACGTGCCAAAACTGAACTCTCTTCAAAAGAAGGACGCGTCAAAAATAATTTAGAAAGTATTTTTCCAGAAGTAGAATATGGAAATGCTTCAAACGATGCAGAATTAGGAAATGCCACAAGTGATTTGGGATCTCGCAGAAACGAAAAGTCGTGTCCCCCATCTTACGAGATTCCAACAATGTTAGAAGTTCATCACAACAATGTTTGGAGTCATTCCTTATATACAATGAATGCAACAACAAATTCATATCATGCTCTCCACAGAACACAACCAAACGAGGTTTTTTCAGAGTTCGATCGCGTAAAAAATAGACAATTCTTAGTGACTGACTCACAACCTCGCAAAGAAAAATTGGACAATGATCTCACATTTGAAAATCCTTCGATGGAAAATACGAAGAATTTAACCTCAGTGTCTCATAATTCAAATTTCATTCAAGTATCATATCGAAATAAAGAAAGTATCCGTTTGTCTAAACAGGGAAGTGCTATTCAAACAAATGGCTTCCATTCACAAACAAATCCTTCAGTCTCCAGTGATGAAGATTCGTTTGCTGGTCGAGGAAAATCATTATTTCCTGAAGGTGGAAATTTGGACGAACTCCTCAGTGACGTCCAAGAAAATACAGGTACACAATCTCATTATATTGAAAGTGTCTAATAATTTTTTTAATATTAAGAAAATATTTTTTCCTCTTTAGGTCAACAAAGCTCCGTTGGCAGTCTACATTATACGCAACGTACCCAAAATAGGGAATTTTGGAATTCAAATTCTGATTGCACGTTGCTCTCACGGAATCACTCAGAAGTAAGTATGTCCTTTTACAATTTATATGCATGAACGCCAGGCTCTCTAAACTTTTGTCCTAAAGAATAAGGAACTACTCTTATTTACTGTAATTTGTACCAATGAAGTGAATCACATCAACTGAAATAAACAAAATACATCAATTATAAACTTTATTTTATCTCGAAGCAGTAGCGTGAGAAAGTCATCTGTTGCATCTATTACAATCTTTAATCTGCGGTTTCTCGCTAGTGCTAAATGGATTAAAAATTCCCATCACAACACGTTTTAGTAGGAGCCAACAAAGAATCCCTTATTTTCGGCAATCTTAACGTAAAAGTAACTCGTTTGTATTACTTTCAGACATTTGAAATTTGAAACTATGCAGCATTTTTGTGTTACATTCAAGAACATACCTGTTGGCAAATGTTCTATTTTGTTACTTTTTATGGGCACTTTTCAACTACTAAGGTCATACAGCGACCAGAGTAATTAAGATTGGGTTTGTAATTTTGGGGTAACTGTAACGGTAACGAAACTCGCACACTCCACATCCCTTACACAAACATCCTTACCCCGGGCGGGATTCGAAACCAACACATACGGCATGAGTGACGAGGCAGCTACGGCCATCCAACCGCCGCTCTTTCTTTTAGATTAACATTATACAGACAATTCATTACAGAGCAGTAATGTATCTGTCATGATCATATTCATACTTTATAGCATTAGTGTAATGCACAATATTTAATAAAATCTGCCCTCTGCTTTGTGAGTAAAGCATTAAAGATTAATTGTTAATAAAATCTTTCTCACAATGAATATTGTAACGTATTAGCCAGCGTGCCTCATGGCATCTATTTGGGGACGCTTGGTTGCGGATTAGTCTCGCCACAGGAAGTAGGGTTTTTCCGTAAAGGGAAGAACGCGGAGACGGGAGACACAAGGCTTTGGGTGTCTTCCGGCTTATAGCAGCTTTTCACTGTTATAACAAGCGAGGGGGTGGCGTGACGTAGGAGGTCACGTGGGCCTCGCCTATATAACAGCGTGTACGGAGCCAGTAGGCAGGTTCTGGAGACGGTGGGAGAACCTCGTGCGTGTGCACAAAACTTGGCGCCAAGACGGTGCATATGCGAGCCAGGCTCGCGAGGCTGGAGTCATTAGTTGACGAAGCCTGCGGACTTTATGTCCTTGGGTGACTGCGGTCACGGGGGAGCGATGCTGTGTGCGTGCTCCGAGGTGAAGAGTGGTTGAGTGCCACGATTCACGCCGATTCTCAATCGGATAAGATCGCTCCTGCGATCGAGGCAAACCAGCCGTTGGTGCGCCAGAACGGACTTTGTGTCCCAGCGTGACATCCGGTCACGGAAGCTAGGCTTTGTGCGCGCTTCAAAAGTAGGAGTGGCGAATGCCACAATCAAAACCATCTTCAATCGGGTTTTGGATCGCTCCCGCGATCAGGGGATAGTAGGTCTATCAGAGCTAGGGTTTAAAGTGATTATTAAGTGTATATATTTGTTTTGTTTTCTTGTTAATAAATATATTTGTTATACGAAAGCTCTGTGTCTGTGGTCGCTGTGAGTATCCATGACGTCACAATATTCATCAATGAAATTTACCAATATTGGAAACCCGGTTATGTTTGCGCTATGAAATTACTAGAATCGAAAAGAAAAGAAAATTTCAATTCGTCGCCTATAGTAAAACTGTAACTAAAGGTTAACTGTCTCTCCGTTAAGCATGAATGCAATGAAGACGGAAGAGACGCGAATGTTGGAAGAATGTGAAAGCTGATGGAAGCCAAGACGAAGCTAGTGATGCTACAACAGCAGATATTTTCTCGCATTATTTCTAACTGGTGCGCTGTATTGTACTACTGCAAGCGTGTTTTCAGCCACCAAAAATTGTTTCCCCCACCGGTACTCGAACCGTCCGAGTTCACTCGCCATGAAACGTTGCGGGTTTCAACATCGGGCCGACGCTGAAAAATGCAATTGTCTCAATCCAATATTTCCAACACGCATTTTCGAAAAATCAGAGAGATCAACGAAAGTGAGATACACGTCATTATTTTAGACGTCCCTTGTTTAATAAATGCAAAAAATTGTAAAGGAAAAAATGAGATCAGATTTTGAGAAAATGTCGTTTTTATAATTTGCATTAATTTCAACCACAAATTACATGAAGACTACTCGTTTATTTAAAAATTGTATTAGACCTTCATTTAAGAGCTGCTTTTACAGAACAGATTTCGTCCATGGAAAAAATCTCTAACTTTAATTTTGTAATTTTAGAATGTTACCTTTCCACATTTTGCAATTTTTGAAAACACAGAGAATTTGCCAAAAAATAACACGAATACCATTTCTTACTGTTCTTTGTTACATAGAAGGAGAAAATTAAATGAAAAAATATGGAGTGATTTTTAGAAAAAATCTTTTTTTTAATTGTATAAAATTCATACACAAATTAGGTGAAATCTACTCGTTCTTTCAAAAAATTGTACTTGACATTTTTGAAGAGATGATTTTTTACAACAACCTTGCCTAGGGAAAAATCTATATCTTCCATTTTGTAATTTTGAAATTTTTTTGTTGTAATGTTCAAAAACACAATCAGCCGAAAATGGAATTAGCACAACATTTATTGCCGTCCCTTGGAACACGAAGAGAAAATTTAAAGAAAATAAGTTGAGTGTATTTTGAGAAAAAAGTCTTTAAAAAAATTAAATTACCTACATTTCGCAAAAAATTACACGAAAGTTACTCATATTTCCGAAAAATGAACATGAACTTGTTTCAAGATCTGTCTTTGAAGAACAGATTTTATGAAATAAAAAATCTCTATCTTCATCATTGTAGTTGTAGGAATACGCCCCACAAAATTGCACTTTTGAAAATTTCGAAAAATCAGGGATTTTAACGAAATGAGACCTACACTATTCTTTTAAGAGTCTTTTACTCTATCCAAATACAAAGTTTAAAACATTTTGGGCCATTATTAAAATAATTTTGAAAATGTTTTTTGGAATTCATGTAAAGAACTCTCATATATCAAAATATTCGTTTGAAACACCCAAAGTCTCTTCTGAGGCTCAGTCACATTCTATCCTATAGAGAGATTAACGTGTGCCACAACGGGGATCAGGTTTTCACGTGTATTCCTTGTCAAGACAAGGTTGTTAAACCTTGTATTATGAGGTGATAGGATGATGATGAGAGGTGATAGTGATCTCTTGAAGCATCCCAGCATTCGCCTTTTGGCCGACGGATACCTCTTGTACCCCTGCCAGGAAGGCTGGCCTCGGGATCGAACTCGGGCGTCCCGACTGCGAAATCAGTCCACCACGCACTGAGCCACTTCGCTCTGTTTAAAATTATTATCATCATCATTTCAAAAATCCACGACTAAAGATGTTATGAGACGGTTGAACAAAAAATCTACTCCGGGCTACCATCAACTTCCTAAGGAACAGATCTAGAGACTGTTGGTGTCTCTCCAATACTTTGCACAATGTAGGCTGTTCCCAATAAAGCAATGTCTTGCACAGTGTTTTGAACGACTTGAGAGTTTAGCGAAGATCTTACCCAAATTTCGTAGTACATATTCCAGAACTCCGATAAATATTGGGACGACCAGTGCTTTTACGCCCCACATTCTGTTAATTTCAATTTCCACCCTTGTATTTAACACGTTTCTATTTCTACACACTACTAAATTAAACTTAATATTATGTGTGAAGATGCCATGATATAGTGATGATAGGAGTGAAAGGACGAAACAAATACAACCATGTCCGAGGCGGGAGTCGAACACGCGATCCTTCAGTCCGAGATCGCTACGGCATAGCGATCTCGCCCATCCGAACGACGTCACGCCGCTTTGGTCGCAAGGCACAGCAACATTTTTCTCCAAATCCCGAATAACAATAAACCGTTTGTTCGCCGCCATCGTGCGATCAATTTGAATTTTTTGATCGTACAATATTGTACACAGCCAACAGACGTCACCAGTTTTTGTGAGTGTTCGTACCTCTTGGAGCATTTCGAGGTCATTACAGATGTGCCAATGTATGTAACTATACACCCTACCGTATCTTTTCAAGTGTACGTTCTTTACTAGAATTGGACAAGCTGAGTCGATATGATCGATGGTTTCTAATTGTTCCTAGCAAATGCGGCATTTACCATCTTGAAAAATTTTGGAAACCATTTTACCATAATGTGTTCTCAACGCCTATCTTGGGCAGCTATTCAAACTACTTTCGATTCTGCTTTATTCTTTCTCCTTTAAGCCACATAAATTATTAAACTTCGTTGATCTGCACTTTGTCCATTCTTTTTAGATATTGTTCATGGAGTGGTGTGTCTCCCCAGGGTTGCTTTAACATTTTTGCGTTTCATATTTTATTTTAAGTAGCATCAGAAGGTCAGTGTCTTTGTTATTCTGTGTGTCTTACATAGTTTTCTTCACAATGTTTCTTGCTACACTTACAATGCCTCTATTTCCCATTCTTCGGTCAGACGTAATGGCCTGCCTCATTAGTGGGTCATCTTTATAATTGACTACAAACTTTCCCATCCCCACAATTGCATTGTGCAAGGAGGAAACATTTCATATGTAAATTGTCACAATAATTTGAAATATTTTTTCATAATTTTTTTGAACCTGCGAGATTACGAAGAAAATATTCAACATTTACATGTAGTATATTCTAGAATGCAATTAAATTGGCGCAATAGACTCTCGCCTATGCGTTATCTCCAACGGCGTGTGTACGGCTTGTAATAAAACATTTTCACTCCTATGCGTCCTTCCTTCACTCACAACCTTACGGTTAGGTGAAGTCCGCATCACCAACAAATTCCTACGTTAATTATCAATTTTAGTATACAACACAAATAAAATGAATACAAATTGTTTATGCTTCGTAATAATTTGTTTTAATTTCTAACATTTAGAGGTGGGAGGTGCCGCAAGCGTTACGTAATCATTTAGGGGGATTTAAAGGCGCGTTACGGGTGAGTTACCAGGGGAATTGGGCGTATTCAAAATATTCCAAATTTGCGTTACGTAACTTATGGACGGACCTTTGCATCTCGATAGCGCAATGCCAGCCACGCTTTGCCTAAACACTCCCCAGCGAGCTAATTGAGGAGTGCACCACCGGAGACTGACGATTCGAAATAGAATTCCAATCGGGGCTGTAAAGAAATCTCTGAGCGGGTGCGGACCGGCGCTTCGGGTCAATTCTGATTCTCTGCAGAGTTAGTTCAACGGCCGGTTAATGCGTTTCTGTGAGTAAGACGCAATGGCACATATTGGATTCAGGCATACTATTTATATAAATAATTTAATACTATATTGTTCATTTAATTTATATAAACGTACCCAAATTTTACATAATATTGCTTCTAAGAGTTGTTTGTGTTGAAATACTGGTCCCACAACAAAAATAAATGTCAGGTTTGTATTCTTCAAACTATATTAAGTAGTGTATAATACCTGCCTAGATTTAAAGTATATTCCAAATTTTACTAAATTCCTGCCTTTTTCTCGAATTGTAAGCAAATTGGTCATTTTTTCTGCGTCATCTTCCTCGATGTTACAATTATTACAATTGTAACATCGAGGAAACCTTCTCTTTGTGTCGTTGTACAAATATTGTTTCGTATTTTGTTAATGTTATTTATGTTATTTTATCTCACAATAAAAATTACTCATCGGATTATATGGCGAGAAGTAAATTTATCACAGCCTTGGAATCAATTCATTAGCTAATATCATGATTGCAATGTCAAACGCAGTTCTTCAATTTAAAGTAGAATTAAAAATTAAAAATATGAAAATAGAAATGTTTTTGAAAATCTCATCAATTTGAGTTTCCCATCCACGGGGAGCTCTACGCATGAGCTTTGTCTTCTAACGCCTAAACCCCCTTCGCATTTTCAGAAGCCGAGCACCTCAGAATACTCACCGGGAGAAGCAACAGCGTACGTCGCTCAACGAAACGGACCAGAGACCTCACCAGAAATTTCAGAACTTAAAAAAAACGAAAGCAATTTTTGTCCTGAGGGCTCTGGGACTTACAGCGTGACACATATGGACGACACACCAGGTAAGCTTTAAATGTATCCATTAAGATGAAAAGGGCGTGACACGTGAGAGTTTTGGAAAAAATATATTTGCACTGCCTGTCTGCATGATCTTTATTATAAGAAATGTTAACATAACCTTTTGGAAGATTTCAAAATTTAGTTGCAATTGTTTCCTTGTCACCTTCAATTTAAATTTTCAAATCATTAATTGTTTTTGATTTGAAATTAGTTGCGCTACAACAGCAAGTATTTCGTCAGTTATTTATGAGCATTTCTAATAATCTAATACTACTCCACCTGAGTATTCCAACACGGAGAATGTCTTTCCATTCTGGGAGTCGAACTTACATACTTACGATTCACCATACCAAATAGCCCAACCTGAAAAACAATCTTCCCGGCGCTTTAAAAACGAAGTTGAATAGGGGCACTAATATTTTCAAATTTAAAAAAACATGAAACATGACATTTAAAAATATATTATTGAAAAACAGCTCTTACACGAACTAGTGGTACCTATTTTCACAGTACATATTTTCTCACAATATTTCTAACTTTTGCAGTTTTCGTAATTTCAGACATTTCAACGAAAAATGAAATCTGTACCATTTTTAAGCGTCCTCTGCTCTATCCGTAAAAAAGAAATTAAAGAAAAATTTCGGATCCGTTTTTGAGAATTTTTTATATGGAATGGTTTCCTTCACTTGAGTTCCAGTGATCTGGTTGCTTCCAACATATATTCAATTTTTAGTAGCTCACCCTGATTCGGGTCGGCGCGGAGAAACTTCCTGGCGCACTGCATTTTAATGCTTTCAGATTTAATAGCCAATTTAATGTGAGATTTTTTATTTAAATATAAACACAATGTTTTTAAACACAATTGTGATTATATTGTTTCCATCTTCGGTGCATGCATTCTACTCATATTTTCATAAAATTGTTCATGAACTTATTTATGAATATATTTTCGAGCAACACGTTTTGAAAAATAAAAATTCAACATTTTAATGGCAACTTGTCGGCGAAAACATTTTGAACTTCTGCAATTTTTGAAAAATCACGAATTTTAACGATAATCACTCTTAGGGCATTTGACTCCTCGTTCTCTACTCTAACTATGAGCAAAGTTTAAGACAATAATTTGGAGCAATTTTCGACAAAACATTGAAAATGTTTAGTTTTCATGTAAAGTACCTTCAAAATAAAAATATACGTTTCAAACTCAGAGGGCCTCGAGTTCCTTTAAATCAATCGGGGAATATAAATTTTGGAGAAAATAATTTGAATGGTTTAGGTACTAGATTTGGCAACGAACAGACACAGACGCACGTTTTACCATCAATCAATTTTTCGGTAACAAGTAGCCGCAAAACATGGAATCTGATTACACAACATGACAGAGGAAGTAATTTACTACACGTAGGAACACCATTTATCCACTTTTTCGTTTCCAGGGCCCTGCATTAACAGTTTATCTGTTGAAAAATTGCAGTTTTCCGGCGGTGTAGCCAGAAACCGTGTTTTATGGATACTTGATACCGAAGATTCGATTGATGGCAAAACACGACTGTCCCTCCGTCTTGGCCAACACTAGCACCTAATCCTTTCAGCCTATTTTCTTCAAAACTGATACCCCCGATCGATCTAAACGAACTCGAGGCTTTGAGAGTTTTAAACGGATATTTTGATTTTTGAGGGTGCTTTACAAGAACCCTCAAAATCATTTTCAAAATTTTCTTAAAAATGGCACCAAATTTTTTAATTAACTTTGTCCTTGAATAGCAAACATAATGCTTAAGAGAATGATGCAGGTCTTATGTTCGTTGAAATCCCAGATTTTTTGAAAATTGCAAAGGTTCATTTTTTGGTTTCTGCCTGCAACTACAACATTGAAGATGTTTTTCATAATAAAATATGTTTCTGCTATTGTCTTTAGTCCGATCTTCAAATAATGTCATGCAGAACTTTTCGAAAATATGAGTAGTAGCAATTTTGCATGAAACATAGGCAATTTTTAAATGTTTTAAACAATTAATTTTCGAAAAAAGTACCAATTTTTGTTTAAGTTTTCTCCTCATATGTATCACAGGACGGTAATAAAAATAAGGTGCTAAGTCCATTTCGGCGTTCGCTCCATATTTTTGAAAATTCCAAGACGCTAACATTTCAAAACTACGAAATTGAAGAGAGAGATTTTTGCCTTAAAACGTTCGTTCCAAAAAATCAACCTTTAAAAATTGTTTTCTTCATTTTTATGAAAAAAAAACCAGTAGTTTTCACGTTGAATGAAGTCGTAGGCTTCCGCGGCCAGATCACGTACTAGTTTTCACGTCATTTCTGCATGAAAGTAATGCAATTTATTAAAAAACATTTTCTACAAAACCGCTCCAATGACCCCAATGACACTCCCAATGATAAAGAATGTCCCACGGATACTCACAAGTCTATACAAAATAATATTTTTAAAGGTGTGAAATGTTTTTGTTTTTTGCGCAATGTATGCAAATGCATATTGTTGATAAATGTTGAACCAAAATAAAATTACTTCCGGGCACTGAACTTATCAAAACATCATTTCAACTAGGGCCTTGTTGTAAACAAAAACAAGAAATTTTCAAACCTATAACACTAAAATGATTAATTTTACAATGAAACCTTATAGGACCTTTTTTGAGGAAATCATATTTGCATTAATTTTGTATAGAAGATGATTTTCTCTGAAAGTGATATTTATGGAGATATATAAGCAAAAACGTCGAAAAAACACCTTCAAACAGCCGCCCCCCAGCTCACCCCCTCAGTTTTTTTGTATGTTATGCAGTATATTTTTAGTGTGTTATGATTTTTAGTATGTTATGCAGTAGATACCCACAAACAATGATGCCATGTTTCGAAACTCCGGGACTTTTTCATTGGATTTGTCTAGTTTGTCTATGCTAATATCTGTACTGGGCTGGTGGCTAGCTCTTGGTCAGGGTGCTCGCTACGCTGCACCGGATTCGATTCCCGGTCGAGCCAAGTCTATAGTGTGCGTTTTCCTTGCAATGCCCCAGTGTACGTGCTGTGTAACACTGAGAAAATTCACTTCTCAGCTTGTGAAGAATACGGCATGGGGATGTCTGTCACCGGTAGGCCTGAGCCCGTTCACTGGCTGTCGCTCATACATACAATAGTTGTACTTCTTTGCTTCTACGAAGCTGTTTAGAAATCAACGTAGAATGACGCCAATTATTCATTATAAAAACTAATATAATGATGATCTTCATTCCAGATTTTTTAATTTACTATAAATTGATCTTTTGTGTTTTTCAGCTAAAAATCTCGAAGTCCAAGAGAGTTCCGATCAAAGACCATCTGAATCAATAGACTACCTGGAAAATAAAGGTAATGTTTTTGTACGAAAATTGTTATTGCTGGAGTCATTTAGCAAATGTGGGTGTGGTAACAGGGCTAACAATGAACCACAGTAAATAAACCACACATTTTTCAAGTTACATTTGACACGTAGCTTGAATTATATCCCCCTTTGTTATATAAAATCAACTAACTATTATTGTCCATCTGTTTCAAAATCAAATACACGATGCTTCAAGCAAGCTCGCAAGTACATTCACGATGCGTCTGCAGTCTGCATTTAAAGTCTAAATTTTCTCAAGTGCCCTTAATAATATTTTCAGTGCCACCAATATGTACTAAATTGCGAGAAAGATCATTTTCGATGTCTCCATATGTCCTAGAAGTTTGAAACATTTATTTTGAGACATCCTCCATTAGAATAAATGTGGATAATTCTTTTGATTATTTGAGAAAGGAGTTTCATTTCTGAAATTTTTTTATTTTAAATGTAATTTTTATCTATATACATTCAAGGCGTATATATTCAAGTTAAAGTACTGGAATATGAAATAAAATATTCTCAATATTTAAAAGTAAGAGCCCGTAAAACATCTTACGGTAGCATTTAAATAATTTTCATTTAAAATTTGGATTTATGAACTTTTTGTTTTTTACCAGTTGGGTTTTAAATGGTTTTGGAATAAATTGAAAAAAAAATTTTGCCGCGAAAATCTTGAGAAGAAAGCCTAGATCGATCTATATTTAGGATTTATTTGAAATAGTCTACATTGAAAATATTACTCAATTTGTGAGTTTTTGAACTTATTTTCTTCTCAATAAATAGTTGATTCGTCATTATTTTTATTATTTGTAGTGTGTATTGGCTCGTGCTCATCTTCTGCACACCCAACTGCTTCTGACAGATTGTTGACCAGAACATTGTAGTAAAACTGGTGTGTAACAGATAAACAAATTCTCTTTGCGGCAGTAAATGAACCTATCAAACACCAATGCAAGATGCGTTGCCTACCAATGAGAGAAAATGTACCACGTACATTTTCCATATATGGAATTTCCCATCACATGTTTATTGGGAGAAAGATTGTCTCGACATCCCTACAAGCCCTAGAAGTTTGTAAAACTTTTTGCTGAAGCACTTTTTTTTAAAATTGTATTCCTAGATATAGCAAGGTTTGAAGTATAATGTATCTTCAATAACTCTGTAAGCATAATTATTTAAGAAGTTCAGTTCACAAAATATGTGTGGATTTAATGGGTTTTGGAACTAAAATAGCAAAGTATGAAAACATTTTTGCAGATCCAACTGACAGCCATCATTCATATTAACAAGGCAAATATTGCTTCGTACAATTATACAAAGAAATTGCTTACTATTTATCATTTAATGAATATTTATTTACTATTTTTAATAAAACACATAAAAGATGTTTTAAATTGTTAATAGTTTCGCGCCATTTTGGTTTACAAGTATTACGCCCGTTCTAGGCACACACGTTTACTCCTTAGACGTTTTTCGTACAGCGCATCAAAAATTATTATTCCACCAGCTCTCGCTACAAAAAACGTTCATAACAATCTACATTACAAATGCACTAAGGAGTAATACACTCCATTTTTAATGCAGACAAAGCAAATAAACCATGTCAAAACATGGACAACTTAAATCGGGAAACAGCTTACTAAATAGAAAAAAAAGATTATAAAATCACTAATCATATGTACTGATTTAATTCAGAGTGAGTTACACGGGAATATTTATAAATGAATTGTTGTTGCTACCATTGCATTTACTACATTTGCGTTTTTCAGATCCCTTGCAAAGGACTTCCTCGGGCGCATCTTTGGGCCTCCTCCCAAGAGGCCGCAAGCCACTCTCCCCAAGCACCTCTGAGCTCGCAGACGCACAACTGCGATGGCTGTCTAAGAGTTTGCAGAACATAAGCGCTCACGAAGACAACAGACTGTTTCAAAAACGAGGAAGTTTCCCTCCCGTAAATGAGCGGACTCATTCCCAAAATTATGTTCCTAATTTACACGAATCTGCTCCTATGGGGCGATGCACACATCCAAATGAACGAGCGGATAGTGAGATACCAACGAAGCTCGACCACGGAGCGCCGAATTGGAGTAAGGAAGAGAGTGTTCCCAAAATTCAACAATCCACCACGCACACTGATGTTTCTCCATTAAAATTAAATTTTCAAAATAGTGACATTTCTTTGAAGAGGAACTTAGACGTTCCAAATATTGAAGACACGTCAAAAAAAGATTCGTGCATATCAGACACCAGTGTTCAACAACCTGCCACGGACGGTGAAAGATCGCTGAAAAAGGTTGACTCTCACGTTCCGACAGTGTTTAGTGTAAATCTCCCATCGTCGTCGGGGAACATTTACAGACCGGGTCCGGTAAACTCGTTCCTTCAGAAGGAATGTGAAGAAATGAAGGACGCCATTCTCTTTTCTAGGCGCAGAAGCAGATCTCAGGATCAACCCGAGCCTGAAGTCGCGCCCCCCGACGGGATGTACCGGTGTATCAAGGCCGTTTCAAAAACAAACCGGAAGTGCTCCGGCTACGGCTCGCACTTCCAATCTCTGCACAAAATGAGCGGTGATCGTGGGCGACACGCAGCAGGGCGCTCGCTGTTCGTGGACCACAGCCTCTCCTCGTCCTGCTGGCAGGACTCCCTCTCCAAGGAGCACTGCGTGAAGCAGGTGTCCATGTGCTCCAACAGCCAGCGCAAGATGGGCTTCTGCGCGAAGAAGAAACGCCCGCCTCCGAGAGAACGGGCAGGGGGTGGCGGGGGCGCTGGGGGCGGTGGCGGGGCCGGCGGGTGGGCGGGCCGGTGGGTGGGGCGGGGGCCGGCTGCATGACGGCGGGGCAGGGGTGGGGGTGGGGCCGACCCCGCGGTCCAGCGTCGCCCCTCCATCGACAGCTCCTTCCCGCGCTCCACGTCCATCGCGTGGAAGGGCCAACAGCATCGGCAAGCATGGCCAGCAGCGTCGGACGGCCGCGCTCAACATCACCAAGGCCAAGTTGGGCGCGGGGGCTGCCCGCCCCGGAGCGCAAGCTGCGTGAGGAGAACGTGCCTTGGTGTGGCTGTTGGGGCAACGGATGCATATAACGCGCCGGCCGGATCAATTAGTCCGGCAAAAAGCGCGATTCGTTCACTGAGAATCGCTGTTCACTCTAGACATTTCATTTGAAGTTCGCGGAAAGGTATAATGGGCCTCAACTGGAGATTCGTGTTTTCCACTTACAAGGCTTCCTGACTAGAGTATGAGCGGGGTTGCGGCCCCAAGGGCAATTGGTACACTTCGACAGTTGGCACGTCCAGGTGTCAAATACCAAAGAAACGCCAAAGAAAACGAGTAGGCAAAACAGCAATATATTCTTTTTGAATAGTTTTTTTAAAATATGTAGTCTATGGCGCTGCGTATGAACCCAGAGACCCGGGGGACTGCCTCGTACATCCTGAGCTTCTATTGCTGACACGTGTCTCATATGCTGTGGTACACAAATAACACGCGTTTGTTTGCAGACGGCCCCAGGCCACTTTCGTCTTTCGCGAAATTCAAGGAGGGCGCCGCGCCGTCTGTTAGCATCCACGTCGCGCCAATGCTTACTCCCTCGCAGCAAGCGGCTCGCCTTCCTCACTTTGTTAGCAGGCGCAGGGCGTCCCTGGCAACTCGCGTCTCCTCCCCTTGCAATGTTCCAGTAGGGTAGCGATCACCTCTCAAATTGATTTTGAATCATGTGCTAACCGTCAAACTACAACAGAGTTGCTACTCGTACTGCACACACACACACTCCTCTTGAAACAAATCTCTTATTCTCCTTTCCTCTTCCTGCTTTTTCCAGCCTACAGCCGGTTACTCTTTACGTCCCGATGAGTCGCTTATTTGACCATACACTAAACACCAACACACTTTGCGGGCTCTTCTGATATGTGGTCAGCAGAACGCGAGGCCCTCCGCGACAACACATACATGAGAGACAAGGGACAAACAACCACGCCCAGGTGGGACTCGAACCCGCGACCCTTCGGCCCGAAGCGCTGAGTCGGCACACGCTCTTAGCCACCTCGGCCATCCAGGTCGACCAAATTAACTCAATGGAGCGAATAGTAAATTACATTTGAAGCGCTCAGTGAGAGATAATCATCAGCCTCATGCATGCGGTTTGTAGCTAGAGTTCGTTTAATATTTGTCGAATAGATCAGGTGTTATACTGCCGTAGTTAGAGTCAGTAAGACAATCAAAGTGAGAAACTGGAAATCTGTATTACTGAACGGGAATACAGTTGCTCAGAGAGAATCGTGTCATAGTCAACTTGATAAACCCAAAATTGTTGCTTATTATCTCACCCTTCTATTTCACAATTGAACTAGTGGAGCTACAACAGCGCGTACTTTCTCGCATTATTAGGAACGGTTTCAAAATATTATAATACTACTAGAACATACTTTGTGTAATTTTTGAAACAATAAAAGTTTCTGTCATGTTATTTAGTAATTCAGTTTAAGTCAGTTATTTAGCACTATCCATTTAAAAAGGTTTTCTTAAAACTTTGGAGCCAATTATAAGAAAGTCTTGTTTCTAAAACAACTTTTTCCGTATCAGGAACCCATTATACCACTTTTCCTTATGTAGTATGCGAGAAAGTAAAAATACAACGTTGTAAGAAAGTGTTGTCAAAATGACTTTTGAATGGCAGCTCCAATGTGTGGCTTGCTCTGGCGGGGCGTCGCAAGAGCGATTAGGGATAATCCGGGAAGGTGGCGACGGGGACAACGGGGCTGCGATGCGAAGGGGGCGACGACGTAGCGAAGGGAGGTCAGGACCGTTGGTGACCGGGGCAAAGGAGGCGACAGAGGTGACGGGGAGAAGGGGACGACTTGGACGCCGGGGGCGACAGGGGCGAAGGGGACGACGAGGGTGACGGGGGCGACAGGGGCGAAGGGGACAACTGTGGGGCGACGGTGCGGAAGGTGGGCGGGCGACTGGCGACGGGGACGGACGACGGGGTCGACGGGGCGCCGGGGGCTACGGAGCCAGGAGCGACAGGGTGCGGGGCGCGGGGAGGGCGGACGGCGGGTACGGGGCGCGGGGCGCGGGCGCGGGCGCGGGCGCGGGCGACGGGGCGAGACGGGGTGCGGGCGCCGGCGGCGCGAGGCCAAGTGTCAATAATACAGCGGAGGCCGCGCAAGCGCGCGGCGGTAAACAGCGCCTGACAAGTGTGCGCCGCGAGTTCACACCGCCACGCGCGTGGCTCTGGAAAGCGCTCCGCCCCGCGCGCCGCCTCCGCGCGCCGCCCCGCCCCGCCCGCGAGGACGGCTCTTTGAACCAGCGCCAGGCGCACACAAACCACAAGCCGCTCTATGTGCTCACACATCTGGCGGATCAGTGCGGGCATGTAAATGATCTGAAAATGCGATAGTCACGCCGCTTCATGTCATAACCCCTGTACTTGCAATGAAACATAAAAATTCATAGCAACTTGTAGGCAATCATCGGTAAAATTATTAAAAATTTTTGTGAGTCACCAGTTTTCCTCTTGCGCAAAACCGTATTTCACAGTTTTTATTCTGACTCTTTTGTAAAATAGCAGCAGTAGTTGTACCTGCATAACCTACTACCTCTTTTGAGGTTTCGAGGGAAATGCTGTTAGTGGGTTGTGTCTTTCCATCCTGTTCGATACTACAGGGGATGGAGAACTATCAGAACTTTGGGAGGCGCTATCGTCAGAGAACTGTTTGGAAAGAGCCAATGCATTTTCCTAAATTGATTCCTTATTATGATCTCAGTAGCTAAGCTATAGCTGTACATAAAGACAAATGATTTTGATAAGAGGAGTTGCTGATATAAATAATGATAAAGGAATGGTGAAACGACAGAAAAAGGAAAATCCTGAGAAAACCTGGCGCGAACTCCCTTCGTCCCACAGATTAACAGGGAATAGAACCCCGACCCAGGAGTGGAAATGGACTGGTCTGACCGCTACAACGCATATTTCTCAATTTTAAGGTTAAATGCAATAATATTTAAGTGATATTTATAACAGAAGTGCAGACTACTACAGAGAAACAATACATTTACAATCTGAAACATTCATTCACTCAATGAAGACCCTAAAACATTCGTATTATAAAGACTTAACACAAACTGCTTCAAATGTGAAATTAGGCCCATAACTGCTTGAATCCTGGCAGTTAAAGAAGTTTGAAAAACTGAAATGTACATCGATTAGAACCGCACCATTTCATGAACTTCATTGTTGAATTTAATGTCTCGCACAAATAGGTTATCTCAAAAATGAAAATAAATCTCTTGGTACTACATACACATAATTTTCATTTTAGCCTCAGAGTTTCCAAGAATAGTGGAGGTCCGCATGCGTCTCACGTGCCGCGCTCTGGCCATCGCCGCTATAGAAGTACAGGCACTTCTTCCCAGCGGTTTCGTCTCCCTTCTTCTCCAGGTACGCATTCCTTAGCACTTACCAGTGTTCCTCCATTCTATCACCGACATGGCCCACGGACCTGTATATTCTGGAGGTACCTTACTATTCTGGAGGCACTAGCGTATCCCGTGAGTCCCCAACATGCTAGTCTCGTATTAGCGGATAGAGGAACCACGGCCGCACCTACCTGGCGTAGGCACATTCGGGATGCAACATGACGCCGCCAGCCAAAACTGGCACCCGCGTGAGGGCATGTACTAGGGAATGGCACGCCCATGTGAATCTTGTTCTTGTCTCACAGCCCAAGCTCCTATACCACACAGTCAGGCTGGGAAATATTGGAGAGTGTACGCATGGCGGATGACAAAGCCCTTAACTTCCTCTTCACACTCAGGCGGAATTCGAATTCGAACACCGCCACTGCGCTCAAACCTTAGCTATCTCCGCCGCTGGAGTCAGCGTTTATTATGTACAGTAACGTTGATGCCGTGAGGCATTGCATTTCTCTACGATGGCAGGACCGTATTAATATTTTAACACATTGTTTGCAATGTATGTTTTCAATTGTATGCACATTGTTATCACATACTATACAAAACATAACCTGAAATAAAATTTGGTAATTCTCGTAATAAAATGATTAACTAAAGGGAAAAATACAATTCTTGCTAAATATTGCTGGTACCTTCCTCGCGTTCCCGTCTGCGGTTAAGGAGACTAGAGCTTACCAGTTAGCTTTTTCAAACACAATGTCCTCACAGAAAATAGAGAATTTAATGATGTAAGTAAAATCTATTTTTTGAATGATTCTTTCACTACGCTATTTAGCAAATACTATGAGCACATCACTTCTTATTTAATCGAAGTACAGGAAAAAACAAAGACGGACGAAAATTCAACATTCAAAATTCCTGGGGTAAGTGAGCATGTCTTCAATTTTGGTGAAATTTTTACATAAAAAAGCAGATTTGATACTTTTCAAAATATAATTTATTTTGCAAACATTAGTTATAATATTGTATCTATCGGAGTTTTCATTTTTTATTGTGACTCACTTCTTTCCTTCGATCGACAGGTAAAGATGGAATCTCATATCATTTTTGTACCTGTAAAAATTGTTTTCATTTCTTTTATCACTCCGTTTTGTATGTAAATTCTGTTATTTTTACTTCGCATCAACGTTTATTCTTTTAAGCACTTCCGATTTTTAAAATCTTAATCTATTCATATGTCTTAATCTATTTCCACTTTCTGCACTCGCCTCATCCGTTTCCAAAAAAGGAAGCGCGTATGAAAATGATGTTTCAATGCATTCTCATTTCCATTTATTCTCGTTTTGATTTCTTTATTGTGAATTTAATACATATCAACATTGAATATATTGAAAATGAAACCACATGCTCAAATCAAA